CTGGGCAACATTGTAATGTCATGTTTCTAGTGCGCTGTTTGGTTTTTACACTTTACTCTCAAGGGAGGTTGCACCTCATGCCTCTCCTTGGGGTGTTTGTAACTTTTATTATATATCATTAACAAATCATTTCTCAATTATCAAAAAATATTTGGCGCTTTCTCTGATTTCTAAATCTTCTTAGTTCTTACCACAAGAGTAGTCTTCCTAAATTCCATCAAATCCTTATACTCCTCTTCTCATTGATCCTTTTCAATTCCAGCACCATGTTCTTTTCAAACAGCTAATCTGTGCCCAGAACTTCATCCTTTCACAATACCTTCAAGTCCATCTGATCTCTGGTCATTATGTCTGTCTTCATCCTTTATAATATTTTCTTCTGATCATGTATCAGACTCTCTCAAAGTATGTTTTGGTAATCAGACCCTCTCAAAATCCAACAAAGTAAGCTCTGAATCTAGGGGAAATCTAGATATAGTTCCTGGTTTTCTTCTAGTAGCAGAGAACTACAAGAAAATAAAGAGAAAAGAAGAAATCACATGTTTCTCCAACACTGATTTCAAAAGAACAAAGAAGTAGACAGTTGTCTAAGGAAGAAGAAAACTTAGTTTATTCATTCATTGAGTCTCATATCTGAACAGAATTCTATATATTTATAGAACTCTCTTCTTGACTGAAATAGAAACCCAGAACTTGGAAACTACCGAGACTCCAGAAACAGAAATTTCTAACATAGAAACTAGAAAAATGTTGCTACTTTATTCTTAGGCCCGATTGGTGTGAGACTCTTTAAAGGCTGAAGTTATGGTTGTAATGGAAGGTGTGCAGTGGGCAAAAGAAATGAATGTGAAAAAATTGACTATTGAATACTGGTAAAAAAATTGACTATTGAAGGAGATTCAAATTCATAAAAAAAGGAGATTCAAATTCATAAAAAAAAGGAGATTCAAAACTGGTGGTTGGATGGCTACATAAGAGGGAGGCTCCATTGTGGTGCTACAGTAATGAAGTAAACAGGTTCAGGTGGTTGACTAGAAATATGGAGGTGAGGGTTTCTTGGATCCCAAGGGAAGATAACAGCTTGGTGGATACTCTATCAAAGCAAGGGATAGAGAACGAATTAATGTTCTTGGCACAGTTATAAAAGTAAAAGGACATTATAGGGTAGAGATAAGACTCCTTTATCTCTACAAAAGAACTTGTACAACTAATCTTCACTTTATATTGATAAAATTTTGCTTGTTATTGATAGAAAGACTGATAATAGAAAGTTTCAACACAGAAACCAGAAAATATAAACTTCTAACATAGAAAGCAGAAAAATAAAAATTCCTAAAATAGAAAGCAGAAAATAGAAACTCTTAAACATTTTTTTATCAGCAACTCTTCAACAGTTGCAAAGAAACTATCTGCTTCCAAATCTTGGTAAAGCTTTGGTGGAACCATTGATCATTCTTCCTCCTTTTATATGTTTTGGTAACTTCGGGATGCTCAAATCTCTCTAAGAATTGCTTTTCTGCATGTTCTATTATTGTTGAAGGTTGAACTATATCACAAGGTAACCACCAATATGACCTTCATGTGTCCATATTCGAAGGGTTCAAGGAACTGCTGCTGTTATAACTCTTAGCTGTGGATGAGGCACTATTTTGCCTTCAATTTCCCATAGAAGCTGACCAGGCAACGATGCACCCCTACCTTGTTAAATCACTCTTCTAAATCCTCAGTCTAAACAGGCAAAATGAATGGTGAATCCTCAGAAACCTCCTTTGGTTTTTTCCTTGTGTAGTATGTTGCTTCCTTATTGAAAATCCCCCTCTTACCACCTGTATTTATCAATAAGCATCTTCTTTCTAACATAGGCAGTCAATAAATCATACACATTTAAGAAGGATATCTTTAGCCTGATTGTTAACCTGAAAATAACTGATTTGAACTATGATTTGTTTTTCTTCTGAACCTTTTGCACCTAACTTTCATTGTGTTTGTATTGGTGATACTTAATGTTCTTGCGCTTGCCATTTGTGTCAGCAGCTTTATTTTGTGTTAGCAACTTCACGTTCTCTATCTAGTGCTTCATGAGTAAATGTGAATAAATTGGTGTAGTGTATATTTTTAATATGTGAATGTGCCGGACTTGACAATCAATTTTTTTTGTTGACATATGTTGACATAGGTTAGTGCCTCTTATGAGCAGGCTCTGCTGGATGCTCGCAAGCTTATTGAGCGTGAAATGGAAAGATTTAAAGTCTGTGAAAAGGAAACTAAGACAAAAGCCTTCTCAAAAGAAGGGTTGGGTCAACAACCTAAAACTGTAAGTTATTCTCTGTCCTACCTTTAGTCCTGCAAATATTATATTAGGACTCCAATTGCTGATTGCTGACATTACTAATAAGATTTGAACCTTGTAGTTGCAAACTTATAATTGACATGTTTGTGGCACTTATTCATTGGATCATGGCATGTTTATCCTGTTTCACTTTTTAATGGTTTTTTCCTATTTATGCTAGTGTATTTTCATTCTATTTGGAAAATTCATAGAGCTTTGACCTATTTGATTCTACTAGGAATTAGGAAACCAGGAATCTTTCTTATAGCTTATTTCATGATGTATTTTTTTTTTCATTCCGGGTTTTAAATAGTTTTACTTTCGTTGCCTTTTTTTTAAGCATGAAATTCTAATATTTATTTGTATATCATTAAATTTTATTGCTTTCGTCATTGTTTCTCATTATCAACCATTTCATGATAGGATCCAAAAGAGAAAGCAAAATCAGAGACAAGGGATTGGTTGAACAATGTGGTATGGGACATACGCTTTCCTTTTGTCTTTCTCTCTTTTATCAACCTATATTCTTGTGAAAGTTTGGCAGACCAGTGCAAAATGTTTGCTCTGCAGTCATTGTATAACTGCCTATAATCTTCATCTATGTCCATGTGTCTGTACCCGTTTGTTATAGCCTTGTCTACGCAATCAGCTCAGCTATCTAAGACCCATGTGAACTACTGTTAAGCATAATAAATAGAGACCTTTCTTTGATGTACTAATTATATTATATTATATTAACATTTTGAGATGGATTTCACATAATAAATAGTCATTGACAACAGAGATGTTGAACTGTTCAGATCTGAGGGGAGGAAAGAGGGAAAATGATTCTTGATAGCAAGGTTCTAAATATTGATACGCCCAATATGCCGGTATGGGCGTATAGGGCTGTATCGATACTGTTTTTTATACTTTTTACTTTTTTTCAAAACCAGTTCAGGGGGGCCGGTTTAAGGCTCCTCCACCCCCTGAACCGATCAGAACCCCGATACACCCTCTGTAGGGCGTATTGGGGTGCTCCCGATACGATACGTGTCGATGTTTTGAACCTTGCTTGATAGAAATGAAAATTACAAAAATGCTTTTTCTTAGTGGTTTCTTTTATAATTTTTTTTTTGATAAATGAGTGAAATTTTATTAAACCAGCAAATAAGAGTTACATGCAACCCGTGGAAAGGCACGAGATGCGACCTTTCCTTTAAAGATAATTACAGAATTATAAGTACAAAAGAAATTACACTGAAGCCCAAAATAAAGTATCCCGGGAAACCCCTTGTTTTGCAAGTGAATCAGCCAATGAGTTTGCTGATCTGCCTACCCACTGAACTCTGATTGTCATATTCCTTGTTTGGATCCTTCAGCCGACCCACTATCACCTGGGAATCCCCTTCAATAATCAGATGCCCTATGCCTAGCTGATTTGCAAGCTGGATTCCTTGTACAGCAGCCAGTAATTCGGCCCTTAAAGAGTCTCCCACACCTGCAGGACCTGTGTACAAAGATATCACATTACTATCTTTGTTTCTCAGCACTCCTCCTATGCCTGAAGGTCCTGGATTTTCTCGGCTACTTCCATCAAAGTTCAGCTTGATAAACTCCTCCCCTGGTGGCATCCATTCAACCCCATGCCTGTCCTTCCTGGTAGAAGTATTAGCCACTGATAACCAACTTCTCCATAGGTCATCAAAAGAGTATGCATCAAAGATCTTTAGAGTTTTCAGCCACCGAATTGCCCTTGTCAAAATACATTCTTTAACTTCCGAGAAGCTGCTCTTATGCACTTCCACATGATTCTCCCTCTCTTTGTGTGCCATTCAAAAATAGACGGACTAAACAACAAACTAGTATCAGATGGTAGGTTCCACCTACACTCAAACAACGCAAGAATCCAATTCCATAAAGCTGTAGCAAAGGAGCAAGAGATCAATAAGTGGTGACAGTCCTCATTCTGAGATTTACAAAGAACACACCAATTAGGGGATAAGCACCAATTTTGTCTTCTCTTTTGTAGGTTTTCAAAGGTGTTAATTTTACCATAATAAACTTCCCAACAAAAAACAACAATCTTTGGGGGAATGGGCCTAGTCCAAAATTCTTTAACTAGGAATTTCTGAGGTGCAGAAGTGGAACAAAGGGATTTGAAGAAAGAGGAGCAAGTGAACAAACAATTCGGGTTAGGGGTCCAAATTCTTGTTTCAGGTTTGAGGGGATCTAAACAAATAGACTCAAGTGAAGACAATAAATCTGAAACACAAGCACTTTCATCATCATGTAATCCTCTACGGAAACTAAAATCCTAGTTTAGGGCCAACGAAGAATCTGAGTAGGAAATAAAATTGGAAACCGACTCTTCCTTATAAAGGGAAAGAGAGTAAAGAGAGGGAAAAAGGTCTTTAAGAGGTTGGTTGCCCACTCAAATGTCTTCCCAAAAAAGAACATTATGTCCAGAATTAACATGATACCTGACTAGATTGAGAAAATGGGGTAGAATTCCGTGAATGGCCTTCCAGGGTGTTGCAAGAGTTGCCCGTCGAGATACCCTGGCATCCCAACTGTTCTGCAAACAGCCATGAATACTATTCACCACCTTGTGCCACAACCTCTCTCTCTCTCTAACAGCCATCTCCAAAGCCACTTCCCTAGTAAAGCTTCATTCTTAAGAACTAGATTTCCCAATCTTAATCCCCCTTCTTCCTTACTTCTGCTGACTATCTCCCACCTAATCAAGTGATCCTTCTTCTCTTCCCCTGGCTCCCACAAGAAATCCCTCATCACCTTTTCTAGCTTCTTGGCTTCCCTTGAGGGTATCTTGAATATAGAAAGAAAATAAACCGGAAGACTAGCGAGTGTCGCCCTAATCAAGGTCACTCTACCCTTATCGAAATGTAACTTTTTTTTCCAAGCAACCAACCTCTTTTCAATCTTTTCCACAATTGGATACTAGAACCGACTTTCTTTTGGGTTAGCTCCTAACGGAAGGCCCAAATAGGTTAAAGGCCAATCAGATATGGAACACTCTAGAGAACCTGCTATAGCCTCTACCTCCCAATCTTCCAAATTGATTCCCACCACACAACTTTTGTCAAAGTTAATCGATAGGTTTGAAGTAGACTCAAAGAATTTAATAAGATCTTTTAGGTTCCTCACTCTCCTTAAGTCTCCCCCTTCACAAAAGATGATGATATCATCAGCAAACTGAAGATGAGTCACTGTGACATTATTTCTACCTATCCTCCAACCTCTTATCAGCCCTTCCCTATCTGCTTTAGAAATCATTCTACTGAGCACATCTGCCATAAGTGTGAACAAAAAGGGGTAAAGAGGATATCTTTTTTAGGCCCTCTACGTGTTGGGAAGAAGTCCTTGATCCCTCCATTAACTAGAGCTGAAAATCGGCAAGATGTTATGCATCCGCTCACCCACCTACACCGTCTATCCCTAAATCCACATTTACTTTGCACTTCTAATAGAAAATCCCAATCCACTGAGTCATAGGCCTTCTCAATGCCCAACTTACAAATAAAACCTTGATTGCCATATCTCCTCATTTCCTCCACACATTCATTTGCTATAAGGATCTGATCTATAATTTGCCTATCTTGGATAAAAGTACCTTGGGTTTGAGTAATGAGAGACGGAAGGACCTTTTTAATCCTTAAAGAAAGCACTTTTGCCACAATCTTATAGATGCCGGTCACCAAACTAATCGGCCTGAAATCTTTAGGGTGTTTGGCATCTAATCTCTTTGGGATGAGAGCTAAGAACGTGGCATTAGCTTCGCAACTAATCACATGGTTGTTTTCAAACTCCCTAAACACCTCAAACAAATCTTCTTTAATAATGTCCCAACACTCTTGATAGAAAGCCATGGTATAACCATCTGGTCCAAGAGCCTTTGACCTGTCCGTAGAGAAAACTGCTTGTCTTATCTCTTCCTCTTCAAAGTCTCTTTCCAACCAAGCTGCCTCACTGACTGATAGACCTGGCCAATCTAGATCTTCCATTCTCACCCTTCTCTCCAACGACCTACTCAAAATGGATTTAAAGTGAGTTACAAAGCAATTGGCTATCTCCTCTTGTGACTCAATTTCTACTCCTTCAACCTCAATCTTGGTCACAATTTTTTCTCCTTCTCCCATTGGCCATAGCATGAAAGAACTTGGTATTCCCATCCCCTTTTTTGATCCATTGATGCCTAGATTTTGCCTCCAAGATATCTCTTCCCTCAATAGAACCTCTTCCATACGGAGTTGTTATTTTTGGAAAATGATGGCTTTGAAATTACAGACTCATCCGAGAAGAAGCACTCTCAACTACCCAAGGAAATGGAGTTTACCGCAGCTATTATAGAGGAGAGGCAGGGGATACCGGTTCCAAAATATGCTCCCAGTTCACTAGAGCAGTATGGCATCGATAGAGGACTAGTGGAACATAATGCATCTCGATCACCGATCGCAGAGTCATCAATCAGGGGACAATACCTAAAGACAGATTCTGATGCAAGGACTAAAACAACATTGACTGAACACAATGGGAACCCACAATCACCTATTTTGGAAGGATTAACCGTGACCTTACCCCCAATGTGTCGTCTCTCCGGAGTCATTTCCCCCTTCCCACAACCTTTCAGGTAATCTTGTCAATTCGTTTTTTGATACTGATGTGGGTTTTGTGCCTGGAACAGGTACCTATGCAGCTCAACTTGAAGCAGCAGCCATGGATGGATAGTTTTTAAGTGGGGACAGGGAGGCAAAGAACAAGTGGAAGAGGTGAGGAAGAGGAAATCCCAAGAAGAGGAATTAGAGAAGATCTGGGATCAGATCTGTATGTATTTGGAGGAGTACAAGAAAAAAGAGGAAGTGGTAGGAAAATATGAGGCTCAAGAAGCTTTAGTAAAAACAGGGGTTCAAAGCAGCAAAAAAGTTGGGGATGAATCAATCTTGGGAAGATGCAGAGGGAGGAATTAGAGAGGATTTGGGGACAAATTTGTGCTTTCCTTGAGGAGTATAGGCAAAAAGAGGAATCTTTGGAGGAAAATCAAGGAATTGCGGAAGGGCGGAGCATAACAAAAGCAATCTTAAGTAGATCTGGAACAATAAACAACCGAAGGAAGAAGAAAAGATCAGAGGTGGAAAGGTTGATCTTAGATATAGAAGGAGATTTAGAATTTAGCGGAAGAGGGGAGAGAAGGAAAGCCTCCAAGTAGGGGCCTAATCTCAGAAGGGGAAGTCAATTCTCTTATCTCCATGAAAATCATCAGTTGGAATGTGAGGGGCCTGGGGAGTGCTAGGAAAAGAAGGCTTATTAAGGACCTCCTTAGAAGAGAAAGGCCAGATATAGTGATGCTACAAGAGAACAAATTAGCTAATATTGATAGAAGATGGGCAAGAAGCATATGGAAATCTAGAGGAATAAGTTGGGTGCACCTTCTTGGGGGGCTTCGGGAGGCATTGCCACTTTTTGGAGAGAGGATA